TGGACAGTAAAAGTGCAGCATAAGAATATGAATATATTTGGAGGATTTTTGAAAACTTAAATTTATTTTCAGCAATACCTTTTATATATTGTTTGCTTCCTGGCATAATTAAAATGATTCCACTTTTAATTAGACATGTTCTTCCTGCCTGACATAGGTAGATATTGTGAAGTGTCAATGTAGCAAGAACACTAACAAAAACTGTATTAATTTTGGTGCCATCTGCCACTACTAGTTTCTATACAAAATCCATTACTACAAGATAAAAATTCTACTATATATTTATGCAACGCAAAACACATAAATTATACAAACACAGACTCAAAACCTTAGCAGGATACTAGAACAAAGCATCAATGCCATTTGTTTGTCTTTTATAGTTTCAGCTTTCAATGTTTTGATAACTAGAACTTACAAAGTTAAATAGTGATATAACAACACAGTAATGTTGCTTACATGGCAACAATGTGAGGTTTGTTAAGACTATCTTATTGTCCAGTAAGATACAGTAGGCTTTATGAAAATGGTTCAATGTTGGGGCTAGAGCACATTTTTTTGGCCTGTTTGGGCATTGCTTTTAAAATTAGTAGTAGGGTCTATATCGTAGAATTTGGTCTGGCAGAATTTCCAAGCATGCATTTACTTGGTACCATATTGAATGGTGTTTATAAATAATATGCATACAATTATACAAGGCTTAATTGCAAAAGTTATTGTTACTCTACATAGTTACATAGTTAGTCAGGTCGAAAAAAGACACAAGTCCATCGAGTTCAACCTATAGAGAAAAAAAAAGAAGAAAAGCCTAAACAGAACACTATGCCCACAATTGGAAGGCAAAAAAAACCCTACAAAGCATGGTTCAATGTGCTCCAACTGGGGGGAAAAATTAATTCCTTCCTGATCCCATGAGGCAATCAGATATTCCCTGGATCAACAATCTCTGATGCCTAATATACCTATAATAACTCAATATCCAGTAATATTATGCAGCATTATAGCAGCAATATAGCATTTAGGAATACATCCAGATATTTTTAAAAACAATTTACCGAGCTAGCTAGAACTAGCTCCTGGGGGAGGCTATTCCACATTTTCACAGCTCTAACTGTGAAGAATCCTTTTCGTATGCAAAGGTTAAACCTCTTTTCCTCCAGACGCAAAGAGTGCCCCCTTGTCCTTTGAAATGACCTTAACGTGAATAATTTGGCACCAAGCTCTTTATATTGACCATTTATGTATTTATACATGGTGATCATGTCCCCCCTTAGTCGCCTCTTCTCCAGAGAGAACAAATTCAGGTCAGCTAATCTTTCCTCATTGTTGAGCTCCTCCATGCCTCTTATGAGTTTAGTCGCCCTTCGCTGCACTTTCTCCAGTTCCACAATATCCTTTTTGTAAACTGGTGCCCAAAACTGAACTGCATATTCCAGATGAGGTCTTACTAATGCTTTGTACAGGGGCAGGATTATGTCTCTATCTCTGGAGTCTATACCTCTTTTAATACCAGAGAGTATTTTGCTTGCTTTAGAAACTGCAGCTTGACATTGCATGCTATTATTGAGTCTATGATCTACCAGAACACCCAGATCTTTCTCCATCATTGACTCCCCCAAACATACTCCCCCCAGAGTGTATGACTCATGCAGGTTTTTAGTCCCCAAGTGCAGAACTTTACATTTATCAACATTAAACCTCATTTGCCAAATAGTTGCCCAAATTCATTAGAGAGTCTCTAAAAATTAAATACAATGGCTTTGAAATTACACAGCTCAATTCTTTGAGGACACGTGGGTGTAAACCATCTGGACCAGGTGGTTTGTTCACCTTCATTTTGTCTAACTGTTTCTGGACCATATCAATAGTCAACTATTGTGGTTCAGTACAGGCTATGGCACTACTATCCCCATTATGGACTTGAGTTACATCCTGTTCCTTGGTGTGTACAGAGCTAAAGAAAGTATTTAATAGATTGGCCTTCTCTTTGTCCCCAGTTACCAACTCTGTGTTATCTTTTAAGGGGCCAACATGCTCCGACCTGATTTTTTTACTATTAATATATTTAAAGAATTTTTGGGGGTTGGTCTTGCAATCTTTTGCAACCTGTTGTTCGTTTTGATTCTTTGCAAGCTTTATTTCCTTTTTACGTATTTTATTATATTCTTTGTAGCTTACAAATGACGACAGTGTTCCTTCATTTTTATATTGTTTAAACACCCTTTTCTTATTGTTTATGGATTTTTTTAACATTGGATGTCAGCCACATGGGTTTTACTTTTAGTCTTTTAAACGTATTGCTTACTGGAATATATTTTGCTGTATGGTTGCGAACAATTGTTTTGAAACATTCCCATTTTTGTTCAGTGTTTTTTGATGAAAATATTCCCTCCCAGTTTAAGTCTTCAAGAGCAGCCCTCAGCAATGGAAAATTTGCTCTCCTGAAGTTAAGTGTTTTTATTTTTCCAGTATGTGAATGTTGTTTACAACTTAAGTTAAATGAAATCATATTATGGTCACTGCTACCCAGATGTTCTTTTATATGAATATTTGTAATAAGCTCTGCATTGTTTGAGATTACCAGATCCAGCAGAGCATATTTTCTAGTTGGGGCTTCTACAAACTGTACCATAAAATGATCATGTACAAAGTTTATAAATGTCCGCCCTTTTACTGTTCCTGCAGTGCCATTATGCCATTCCAATGTCAGGATAATTAAAATCTCCCATTAATACTACTGTCCCCACCCTTGCAGCCCTTTCTATTTGTTTAAGGAGGGATACAAGATAATACAATAAAATATTTTGTATTGTATAGAAATTGGATTTGTTGTACATAGGTTAGTGTACCGGCTTGACAAATAGTCATATTTTTACATGTTGGAAACAGTAAACTGATTAGTATGATTTATTTTTTGTTTTTTTCTAATTATTTTTAAAAATATATTTTTTCACTGTTAATATTATAAGCACATGATGCTTTTGTAGCAGGTACACATTTGGATTTCTCAATCTCATAATCCAAGTCTACAAGGTATGGATGAACAGTGGTTCTGGTGAGGTGGCCAAAGAGCCTTTGTAATGCATGGTGAACCACAGTCACTGCCCTTACCTGCCAAACTCTGTTTACTTAATGTACAGGGTATGGATGAGCAGAGGCTACAGTGGTTCTGATGAGATGGCCAAAGAGCCTGTGCAATGCATAGAGCAGAAGCCATCCTCTGTTACAGACACAGTCATTGCACTTACATTCATCTGCTTTGTTTTCCTTGTCTATGCTTTTTTTTACTTTCACTCTTTTGTGCTCCAGGGTTGCTATTCAGCTTTTGGGGAAGTTTTTTTTGTTATGCCTATATGTATTGCTTGATAAGTTATAGACCAAAGCAACACAGGTATGAAGGAGGGATACTTTGTAAGACATAATATTACTATGTTTTACAGAGGACAGAGGCTGTAAATAGCCTCTCTCCAACCTTTGTCCTCTGTCACATGCTAACATTACCTCACCCAGAGTTAGTACTTCTGTCCACCTGTGCCCCATCTTATTACATTGTGTATCTCCTACCCTTACCTTTTATATTGTTTTGTTATGTGATTTGGTTTTATTTTCGCATCTCACAAACTTTGTGTATATTACTTTTGTGGTTCATACCAGTAAACATTCTTCTTCTCTGGTGTGAGTACTATTTATGCAATTGTGATAACTCTATTTTGTTTAAGGACAGTTCCTGCTATACATAGATTTGAGTTATTGTTTTAAGTGGTTTAGGTGGTAGGGTTGTTAATAAAGGATTTTCTAAATGCAATTTTATACTTTCCATTTTTGTAGCGTGGCATGTTCTATATAGTTTTTATTTTAAACATGTGCTAATTTGTCTGTATTTTTTATTGCTGCCAGCACACTTCCGCAATGCAGTTCATTTTTTTATTAGTAAAAGACCAGTGTCTGAATTTGTCAAAGGGGATTTAGTTTTTTTTTTTAAACCTGTTTGGGTGGCTGTAAATATACCTGTAATGTGACAGGGGGGGGTTGTATAATTTTTTTTTTCAATTGAATAGGTTTATAAATATTAACAAGAAGGTGGTATGATAACGATTTTACACTTATATCTTCTGTAATGTCTGTAATCATGCGGTTTGGATTTTTTGTGCACATTAATAAAATTTTATGTGGTTGATACATTTACATGGTTAGCATATTTCTCTGTGGGACATTTGTTATTGCTACAATCCCATGATAATGGGGCCTCTCAGCTGTTTTACTTTTCTGCCTTGAGTATCAATCAAATAATAATAATAAGAATACATTGTTACATACCATTCAATGTCCTTTATCAAGTTTTATATGCAATTATAGTATTAAACACCATTATATTCTTACGTCAGGCATAGGACTGAGACACAAGGAGGGAGGTGGATAATGATGTAATTGCACACTTTGTAAGCCAAATACAGTGGCTAATGTGGTATGCAAAAGGGTGTATTTAGGAACAAACCTTGATATGACACCATTACTCTGAGCATCATAGTTAAACTATTTTGCTTTCCATGCAATCCATGCCCCTCCACAAAATATAAGACCCAATTGGATGGACAAGGCCACAGTTCTATTAACAGGTTTCCACATCTTTAATAAGCAACTCTTTACTAATTGTCAGTTTTAGATTTGCATATAATAACCATATTATAAGATATTACGACATCCTCAGGCAAAGTACCACTCAGGACTCTTCTGCTCATTGATGCTAAGAGGGTTATTCACTAAGGAGCCAAAGGATACAGCCGTAGCTTTGGCTTATCCTTCAGCTCACTTCAGCTGCCGGAGCCCTGAGAAGATTTATCCTACTTATAACCGTATACAACACAATTTTTATGTACATTAGGCAACACATTTTTTTTTCAAGATGATTTACATATTTTTTCAACAAGATATTGCCTCATTATCAAATGAACATATTAGTGACATATTTTACTATTAAAGATAGTATTAGCAAAATATCATACCTTTTCAGGGTTTACACTGGATATCACCCAAACACAATGGGCATTGTCTTCATACTGAACTGGATAGTTAGGTGAGGTTATAATGCCAGATGGTCCTTGCAGATTTGATCCACATGTTCGTGCTATAAAAACAATATTATATTTTTGTATTTACAATTGCTATGCGTGTCTCTGTGTTTTAATGCAAGGATAGATTACACACAAATTATTATAACATCCACTGTTTTGTGACATAGCTTTGTATAAGTAACTGCTTTCCTTCCTAATAAAACTGATTTAAAGAAAAACAATATTTTTAATACTATTCAAAAACTTCAGACGTTCGAAAAAATCCTTTAATTCTTAAATAAAGCCTTTTATTTAAAAAAACAAAAACAAAAATGGATTCACCGACTTAATCCCAAGGTCAATGATGCCGTCCAGCGTTGTACCTAAAGTCCTTAAAAGACAACTGGGCAGAGCCAGCTGTGACATTATGGCTGGCTCCGCCCAGCTGTGATATTACGGCTGGCTCCACCCAGCTGTGACATTACAGCTGGTTCAGCCCAGCTTTTTTCATGTAATGACAGCCCAGCATCCTCCAGGATGCTGGGTTGTCATTTGAGGACAGCAACTGGGTGGAGTCGGCCATGACATTACGGTTGGCTCCACCCAGATGTTGTCTTTCGGTGGGAGATCGGTCGGCCTTGGACGACCTTTCTCCCCACTTCGGGTGTCACTACGAGCCGAAGCATACGTGTATGGCTCAGCTGCCTTCGGCTGCACTACAGGCTATTGTGAATAGCCCATACAGCAGCCCTTTGGTCCAACTGAACCAAAGGGCTCAGGCGACCGAAGTGAGCTGAAGGATCAGCCGAAGCTACAGTTAACCCCTTTGTCTTTTACCTTGTTGTAAGTGAGTTATTTACTTATCTCTCAGGGGCAGGTGAGCACACATCTGCTCCTATGGAAAAGCCTGCTACACCCCTGAGATGTGTTGCCAGATTTAACGTGCTTATCATGCTTATCATAGTGATCTTTTTTTGACATGCAGCAGACAAATTACTTTTGTAGCATAGCCATTTTTACAGATAAAGTAATACTTATCTGTCAACTGTTTTTGAAAAGAATGGAGTGTAACATATCACTGATCATTTAAAATATTAGTTACAAAAAGGAAAAAAAAACATGTGAACTCAGCAGAGCAAGTAAATTAACATTTTTTCTTACACATTTTCATACAAGAATAATATGTTTATGTAATGCATCAAGTTTCAACCTAGGGGAAAACAGCAGCATCACACCTTGAACCAGGGCTATTAAAACATATTTTTAAGATGGTGGTGATTTCCTAACCATTAAATAGGAAATAAATGTGTGAAAAGCACAATTCTAGCCATTTCTATATTTTGTCGTGCAAGCAAATTTCTAAGCAATTTATGTGTTTCTGTGGTTTCAATGCCATATGTTTTTCTAGCAAACACAGAATGTATTCTTAAGACAAACTGGATAGCTATATTCAAGTCATAAAGGACATAGCCGGGGTAGCATGAATTTTAGATATATTTTTTAAAAGAAATGGGCATTCTATAATTTTATAGTATTTAAATTGAAACCTGCTTTTCCACTCGCTTACCTCGACAGATTGGTCTATGATCACTCCAAGCAGAAAGTGTGTCAGTCACTCTCTGACAAGTTATACTCTTCGAACCTTGTAGCACATAATTATCATCACAAGAAAATTGGACATTGGCACCCACTCTACAAATAGCCAGAAAGAAAACAAATATATTGTAAGAAAAGTAAATGATGGGCATTTTTGCAAAGTATAGCAAAGGGAAAACTGACATTGCAACATACAAATTACATTCAATGTGTTAGAATCCCTTGCTTTTTTCTTGTAGGACGTGAATAGTAATAAATTTTTTTCATATATAAATCTACATATAGATGAAACCACTTTTTCAGACAGTCAGTGACAAGCTTTGTGATTAACAGAGGGAAAGACTATTATACTGCTACAAGCTGCTCTAAACTAAGACATAGTGGCATGGACAATTAGGATACTTACAATGTCTGGTGCAGGTCAAATGTCTGAAACTACTATTGGTTTAGCTGTAAGATGAGTGAACTGGGCCAAATTTGGTTCACAAGAGGCTCGGCGAATTCAGCAAAAAACATACATCAAAACCCCATTAAAGTCTTTGGAAGCAGAATCTTGTAATTTTCTTTTAGCCTTTGCAAGCTTTTGTTAAAAAATGGCATTGGAAACCTGCACAATGTCATGGGGGACATGTGCTAATGCAACCCCCCCCCCCCCAAAAAAAAAAAACAAACCAGAAGGCACGGTCATTTAGATGTGCTAGCACTAACACTTCTTGTTTGTAGATAAATGGGCCAGGGATCCTGGGCTTTGTCTTTGACCAAATATGGTCATGACCATATCCAATCAACTACATCACTGAGATCCCCATTGCTGTGTTTATATTGCAGCAGTGCCAGGGATCTGACATATACAATGGGGGGAGTGGTGAGCCAAGTTTTTTTGCATGCTGGCTTGTGAATGTGCTGGGAAAACTTTTTGTTGTTTCTACGGTATTAGGCCCTTCCATGTACACCTTGCTGTAAAGCTGGTAACAAATTGATGAGTGCATTTTCCATTTGTTTTGCTTGGCTGAATTGGTGAAGTGATGCATGGGGGGTCTCAGCTGCCTTGTGATGTGTGGGATCTCTTGTGCGTCCCTGTGCCTTTAAGGGAGGTTGGGCTTCCTCCTGACAAACCTGCACCCAATTTGATATTTTGCCATATGTGCTCCAAGATGGAGACTCTCATAGTTTAGAGTTAGGACCGCACTATTTAGAGGTGCCTTCACGCGGCTGTGCGGCTTTCACATTTTCTGCAGAAGACGTGTATCTAAACCTCTGTTTTTAACCTTAGCAGTGAGACAAGTTTTTTTTGCATGCTGGCTTGTGAGTGTGTTGGGAAAACTTGTTGCTGTTAGCCTGACATTGTGACATCTTGTACCTGGGTTTCAGCTGGCCTGACATTTGAACACATCACATACAGGACTGTCCAGGTGAATCCCAGACAGGTGGCAACCCTAGGGGGAAAACCCTGGGCCCCCTTCTGGCTACGGGCCCTCAGGCCTGAACAGTCAGCCCGCCCCTTGTTTTGTATATAAAAGGGTTGTTGCCTTTGCATGCACACTCAATAGTGCTGATCCAGGTGCAGTTGGCATGTTTTG